TCTCTGCACACTACCAATGTGCCTTGAAGGTTTGAACCTGAGACTATTGGTCTGCAAGTCAAGGGTCTTTTCCACTAAATTAGATTCCGTTGACTCAACATCTCTTTCTTAAAAGAGTAGAAAGAGCCAAAGTAGTCTTAATCTGTTATTGAAGCCTCCTTTGGCAGTGGTATGCTAGTTGAGTAATTTATAAATTCATCATGTTTTGCGCATGTCACTAAAATTATTGTTTTTTTTTTCAAGCACGAGCTCTTCGTTTATGTTTTAATCTCAAGTGGTTCTTATCCGTATATTATCTTACCCACTCTATTCCACTTAGTAAAGTGGTTCTTCCACTTAGTAAAGTTCATTCTTTATATAACAGGTGTACAGAGGGCTCAAAGTCTCAACATTAATATATAGGAAATCTAATTCCTCAGGAATTAAACCCCTGCAAATGACTTAGTGTTTTAGCTTCTCATATGAGCAACCCTCAATCAACCATGGAAGCAGATTTCCAAGGCTACATTATACTTTTCCTTGTCTCCATGGTTCTGGTTCGAACCATACTCACCAAAATTCAGAACAAACCTCGGCTTCCACCAAGTCCAATGGCCTTACCAGTCATTGGACATCTCCACCTCCTTGCTCCAATTCCTCACCAAGCTTTTCACAAGCTGTCTAGCCGCTACGGTTCTTTGATTCACATCTTTCTTGGTTCTGTTCCTTGTTTAGTTGCTTCCTCACCAGACATGGCCAAAGAGTTCCTCAAGACTCATGAAGGTTCCTTCTCCAGCAGGCCTTCTATGGCTGTTGTTGATTACCTCGCATATGGATCGTCTGATTTTGCATTTGCTCCTTATGGACCTTACTGGAGATTCATGAAGAAACTATGTGTTTCTGAGCTTCTTGGTGGAAGAACACTGGATCAGCTCCTTCCCATCCGGCGCGAAGAGTTGACAAGTTTTGTACAATTGATCCGAAAGAAGGCCAAGGCAGCTGAGGCTGTTGATGTTGGAGCAGCGCTTATGACGATAACGAATAATATCATAACAAGAATGACTATGGGGCAGAGTTGGTCTACAAATGAAAGAGACGCTGATGTGGTCAGGAAGGTGGTGAAAGCTACTGCTGAGCTTAAAGGGAGGCTTAACTTGTCGGATTTAATTTGGTTTTGTAAGAACTTGGATTTGCAGGGCTTTGGGAAAAGGGTTAAGGAATTGCGCGATACGTTCGAGACAATGATGGAGAGGGTTATAGAGGAGCATCAAGAGGCAAGGAAGAAAAGGAAGGAACTTGGTGAAGGTGGTGATGCCGTTAAGGATTTGCTTGACATTTTACTTGACATATCCGAAG